TATGCCTTTTTACTCTGAAAATGCTGTTGTCGTGTAACCAAAAAAGCATTAAAGGTTTTTCATTTTGACTCAATGTTATGTAAGCAGACCCTTTGTGGCTGCATCATCAAAGTATGCCTTTGTTTGGTGTGAATGTGCACCCTCTAGCTGTAAAAATCACTGACTGTGCCTTTAAATAGGAGAATGGATGAATTGTGTAGTAGTTTGTTTGAACACGTCTCCCTTCAGAAATTGTGATGATATTTTTAGTTTTTTGCTTATTAGCAGATAAAATATTATGATTGGCAATAGAAGTGTCATAACTTAAGATTGAGCCGAGTATGTTTTGTGCCACAGGTGCATATGAGAATTGGACTGTGTTTGAGACATTGGCTGGCAGCTCCTGCGAATCTTCCTTAAGGAGATGCTGAAGAAGATTCCTCAGAGCACTCTGGCTGAGTTTTACCCCCGAGACTCCAAACATTAGTCTTTCTTTTTCATTCACCTCACTCTCAATCAGCCCTGAATCTGTCATCTACACTTTTAGATGTTTCTCAGTCTCTGAAATCAAGTACAAACAGCCTAGATTGGTGTAATACAAAGCTGTTTTTCATTGCTGTTCTGAGTATTTGGTTATTATGAAACTGTTGCTAAATAGTGAAGCCAATGTAGTATGAATAGTGTCGCTACACCGCTGTGTGGATGTTTTTGTGTGAGGCTCAGCGTGTCAAACCGTGTGGTAAAGTCCAGACAGAGTTTAGACTTTAGAGCAAGTGATATGACTACTAGTGTGTATTCCAAAACAATCTTTTTGTTTATTTCAGAAGTGCTAAGATTATGGATTAATGTATTCAATGGATTTTTACGTACTATAATAGTTTCACTGTAACCCTAAATGAGTATATGTACTATAATTGATGAAAAGTACCATAGACTGCATTAAAAGTGTAGTGCAGTGGCCATATCATATCAAGAGCTGTTGTTTACCATAGCAAGAGAAAAGCTATTTTTTTTTTCATTCTTTTCTCACACAATGCTAATATTTGGTTTGTATCAAAAAGTGTGATGTATGGTTGTGGCAATATATTTATTTATTATTATTTTGGTGCATAAATGTATGTACTGTGTAAAGTGTGTTTTATCAAGTTCATAAAGAAGTGATTGATATCATAATGCATAAAAACTATGAAAATGTGTACTGTATGTGACCACTTCATAAAATAACCTAGATGTGTTGTAAATTATTCATATTGATGAAACTATCAAATCTGCTGTGCACTTCTACACTTCTGCACTGTTGTGATATTGTATATTGCAGAGTACAGTACTGGGGATAAAGTTTAAGGTGGTTTTTCTATAATGGCACATACTGCAACTGTAAAATTAATTTATGCAAATGTTAAATTTATGCAAATATTAAACCTTGATCCTTTAAAGTTTCTGCTCCATACATTTATAATTGTCATATAGCAAAAACTGAATTTCATTATGTAGGTTCTTGATGTTCCTTAGCTGGTCATGACTGGTCATGCAGGAAGAATTAAATTGCTTTGCTGGTTTAAATAGCTTTGGACATTTACACACTAAAATAAAAGATAACAGACAAGTGCAGTACAAACGGCGTTGTTTTAGTACTCTGCCATAAATTCTGTCCAAAAATTGTGTTTAAACATTTAATAGGATGTAGTTTTTAATTTTATTTTTATCTTAACTATGTTCATGCAAACATTACGCAATCCTAAAACGTGTCTGCCACACACAACCTTGTCGTTCACAAAATAATTAAGGAGTCATGAAATCATCAGGCACTCATTTGAGTAGCAGGACTACTAATGTGAATTGCCTGGGATTATCTGCTTTACAATGTTTAAACAGCAGAGGGGGTCAGAGCCTTCACAAAACATTCATTAATTATCTTTTAACAGCCAGTGGTTCTCCCAGGTGAGCCGTGTTTCAGGTAATTATTGGCCTAATTGAATGTCTAAAGCCCTATAAAACACACTTACCTCTAATTGATTGCATACATGGGTTAGTGGGTTCTGTTTGTGATTTTGGAACTGTGAGCAGTCAGTGCTAGGATTTGTTGTTTTGTTTATTAAGCCATGGAACAAGGGTGGAAAAGGTGAGTTTATCCAATAATGCTGTTTGTATTTTTCCTGTTTATAGGAATTCTTAAAAATTGTTAACATGATTATCTAAAATCTCTTTCAAACTGTAGGTTACCCTTGTTAGTAGTCTTCCTGCTCCTTTGGAAGAATGCTGATGGATTTGCATGTAAGTAGTTGATTTCTTTTTGCATGTAAGTAGTTGAATGTTTAAGACATTTGAAGATGACTTGAGTGCCTAAACCTAAGTTCATTTAATTTGCTTTTCAAATATTAAATAAAAAGTTAAATATTTCCATTCATGTTATCCAAAAATGCACCAATGTTGTGGATGTAAACATTTTAACACTGATTTTTGACTTATTATTCTATAAGGTTATGCTTTTATACAATTTTAATATGAAGAACTTTAATGCGCTTGCATATACTTGGATGTATGTCATTTAAAAAAAAAAAGAATAAAAAACTGTTTGATGCGCACCAAAATTGGCTCAATTGCACTTAATCGAAGTCTTCTCAGTTTATTATTATTATTATTATTATTATTATTATTATTATTATTATTATTTATTTATTTATATATTTTTTTTCTCTCTCTAGATTCAACTTCTCCAAATGCTGGCCAATGGTGGGGTCAGTCATCTGACAACACTTTCTTGCCTCTTGTGGTCCAGTCTTCTGAGTCAAAGGCCCCTGTGACTGGGGTTTTGCTTGAAGAAGTGGTCTCTAGTTTACCAAAAAACAGACCCAAGATTACTCTACTTCAGGCTGTTAAAGGTGGTGTTTCCAGCAGTTCTGACTCTACACCCCAAGATCTAACTCCAAATACCCCCTCTTCAGCTTCTCTGCCTGTGGATCAATCTGGTATGGGTGGTTTAGTGTCACTTCAGGGCTCATCTGGCTCCACCACTGCATATGCTACAAGGGGTTCTGGACAATTGGTTTTTGCACAAGAGGAAAGTGACGGCTTCTTTTCCAAGACTGTAGTTTCAGGCCAGTCCACTAATGACCAGAGCTCCCCTAGTCTGTCTAGTTCAGCTTCTCGAGGTACCACCTATGATGTAATTACTCAGGCTCAAGGTACAGGTCAGTTTGCTCCAGGATCTTCATATGCAACCATATCACTGCCCAAATATGCTACTAGTCAATTGATAACTGGACCAAGTTCAAAGCAATTTACCTCCGTCTATGGCACCCAGACAGGATCATCTGCTCCTTTCACTTTGCAAGGTAGTACCACACATGGTGGACCAATCCAGACTCAAGATGCCTCAATTCAGTTAGTTTCAGAAACTTCAACCCCACACATGGCTGTATCATTGTACAAAGGTGTTGCTAGTCAGTCAGCTGTGCCAAGTTCCAAGCAGATTACCTCTGCCTATAGCACTCCTACAGGGTCTTCTGCTCTTTTCACTTTGCAAGGGCTACTCCAGGGTCAAGATTCAAGTCGGGTTGCTTTAGGATCTTCAGCCCCACATGTAGAAGTTTCTTTTCCCCAAATTGTTACTAGTCCGTTGACCTCTCTACCAAGTTCAAAGCAGATTACTTCTGTCTATAGCACCCAGACAGGATCCTCTGCCCCTTTCACTTTGCAAAAAGTAGTCCAGGCTCCAGATGCAACAAGCCAGGTTGTTTCAGGATCATCTTCCCCAAATGTAGTCTTATCATTGCCTCAAGGTGTTACTAGTCAATCAACAACTGTGCAAGGTTCAAAGAAGCCAATTACCTCTGTCTATGGCACTCCAACAGGATCCTCTGCTCTATTCACTTTGCAAGGACCCCTCCGGCATCAAGATTCATCAAATCGGGTTTCAGTATCTTCCCCATATGTGGCTGTATCATTGCCCCAAGCTGTTACTAGTCAGTCAGGTGGGCCAATTTCAAAGCAGATCACCTCTGTTTATAGCACTCAGACTGGATCCTCTGCCCCTTTCACCTTGCAAAGACTTGTCCAGGCTCAGGATTCAACAAACCAGGTGGTTTCAGGATCTTCTCCATATGTAACCGTATCATCGCCTCAAGGTGTTACTAGTCAGTCAACAACTTTGCCAAGTTCAAAGAAGCTAATTGCCTCCATCTATGGCACTCCAACAGGATCCTCTGCTCTTTTCACTTTGCAAGGACCACTCCAGCGTCAAGATTCAAGTCAGGTTGTTTCAGTATCTTCCCCATATGTAACTGTATCATTGCCCCAAGCTGTTACTAGTCAGTCAGGTGGGCCAATCTCAAAGCAGATCACCTCTGTTTATAGCACTCAGACTGGATCCTCTGCCCCTTTCACCTTGCAAAGACTTGTCCAGGCTCAGGATTCAGCAAGCCAGGATATTTCAGGATCGTCAACCCCATATGTAGCTGTATCATTGCCCCAAGATGTTAATAGTCCGTTGACTCCCCTGCCAAGTTCAAAGCAAATCACCACTGTCTATAGCACTGAGGCTGAAACCTCTGCTCCTTTCACTTTGAAAGAAAGCACAACATATGGGGGACTTCTCCAGGCTCAAGATTCAACAAGCCAGGTTTCAGTATCCTCAACCCCATATGTAGCTGTATCCCTGCCCCAAGGTGTTGCTATTCAGTCAGCTGTGCCAATTTCAAAGCAGATCACCTCTGTTTATAGCACTCAGACTGGATCCTCTGCCCCTTTCACCTTGCAAAGACTTGTCCAGGCTCAGGATTCAGCAAGCCAGGATATTTCAGGATCGTCAACCCCATATGTAGCTGTATCATTGCCCCAAGATGTTAATAGTCCGTTGACTCCCCTGCCAAGTTCAAAGCAAATCACCACTGTCTATAGCACTGAGGCTGAAACCTCTGCTCCTTTCACTTTGAAAGAAAGCACAACATATGGGGGACTTCTCCAGGCTCAAGATTCAACAAGCCAGGTTTCAGTATCCTCAACCCCATATGTAGCTGTATCCCTGCCCCAAGGTGTTGCTATTCAGTCAGCTGTGCCAATTTCAAAGCAGATCACCTCTGTTTATAGCACCCAGAGTGGATCCTCTGCCCCTTTCACCTTGCAAAGACTTGTCCAGGCTCAGGATTCAACAAACCAGGTGGTTTCAGGATCTTCTCCATATGTAACCGTATCATCGCCTCAAGGTGTTACTAGTCAGTCAACAACTGTGCCAAGTTCAAAGAAGCTAATTGCCTCCATCTATGGCACTCCAACAGGATCCTCTGCTCTTTTCACTTTGCAAGGACCACTCCAGCGTCAAGATTCGTCAAGTCAGGTTGTTTCAGTATCTTCCCCATATGTAGCTGTATCATTGCCCCAAGATGTTAATAGTCCGTTGACTCCTCTGCCAAGTTCAAAACAAATCACCATTGTCTATAGCACTGAGGCTGAAACCTCTGCTCCTTTCACTTTGAAAGAAAGCACAACATATGGGGGACTTCTCCAGGCTCAAGATTCAACAAGCCAGGTTTCAGTATCCTCAACCCCATATGTAGCTGTATCCCTGCCCCAAGGTGTTGCTATTCAGTCAGCTGTGCCAAGTTCAAAGCAGATCACCTCGGTCTTTGGCACCCAGACAGGATCTTCTGCTCCATTCACTTTGCAAGGTAGCACCACATACGGTGGACCTCTCCAGGTTCAGGATGCAGCAAGTAAGGTTGTTTCAGGCTCTTCCCCAAATGTAGCTGTTTCCTTTCCCCAGGATGTGACTAGTCAGTCAGTTGTGCCAAGTTCAAAGCAGATCACCTCGGTCTATGGCACCCAGACAGCATCCTTTGCACCTTTCCGTTGGCAAAGACTACTTCAGACTGAAGATTCTACAGGGCAGTTTTCTCCAGGATCTCCGTCCTCTGTCAAGACCTCAACCTCTTATTTTTCCAAACCTTCCAGTAGCTCTACTATAGGACGCTACAACTCTGTCAAGGGATAAGAGACTGTTAAACTGGCGCTAATGTTTGTTCAACTTTTCCAATAAATTTTGCAAAAAAAAAAGCTTGTGTGGGATTAATCGAAAGTGCCCCTTAAAAGCAGACCAGTTGAGCATTTTGGTTGTCCATGCTCTTGATATATATAACTTGTTAAACTGATTACATCTTGCTGTCTCCATTTGGCAGGAGATAAATGCCTGTTTCAGTGTCTTTTCTACTGTTGCTTAAACACAATGAGCAACAAATAATGGATGTTAGTTCCGTTCATGGAGTTTGTAGTAGATCACTTCTTTGACTTTGTTGCCAATGTGTAGCAAACGTTGACATTTATTGCCAAACGTTTGTATATCCAAATGGTATTTCAATTGATTTAACTTTAAATGTAAGACTGGCAGTTAAAACATTTTATTTTATTATATATATATATATATATATATATATATATATATATATATATATATATATATATATATATATATATATATATCTGTATCAATATAACATGTAGATAAATAGATACAGAAATATATTATATAAGAGTGTGTGTGTGTATCTGTGTGAGTATGTGTGTGTGTGTGTGTGTGTATGTGTATAAATACACACATAAAAATGAACTGACTCGAACACTGAATGTCTCTAACATTTATTTTTTGAGTGACAGAGTGTGAGAGACAGAGACAGACAGATAGACAGACACAGATATATATATATATATATATATATACAAAGATATAGAGGTCAATACAAAATACAGTCTCCGACAGGTTTATAACGAGTGAGAGTTGAATAAATAATGAGAGAGTATTAATTTTTGGGTGAACGAGTCCTTTTAACACAAAAGAAAGATATCATGGAAGTCTGGGCTCCCATCAAAT